GTACTCAAAAGTCTTGACCGCGCCAGTTCTCCGATTCGCTGCTCGGCCTCCAATAACACTTCCTGAAGCGGCCGCACTGGACGTGATGATAGCAGCGCCACCGACGCCGCCGAGGAAAGTGCCAGTTCCCGTCACTCCCAATGTCGTGAAACCGGCTGCTAGACCGGCTCCGATGACGGGCGCAAGCAGACCTGCGGACAGACCGATGACCAAGCCGCCTCCGACTGTGGCCAAGCCCATCATGACGTATCGTTTCTTAAGAGCCTGCTTTCTCCTGTGCTCCATATGCTCGTCCTCGTTCCAATTTTCCTTCTCGGCTGCCTGCTGCATTTCCAAAGCGTCCGTTACTTTCTTCTCGAACTTCCTAACATCCAACCAGTCAATCTGGAGGCTTTGTCCAACACGCTCCAAGAGGATTCTGGAACGACAGTCATAAACCGAATCCGCAATTAAAAGAAGGAACAAATCACACAACACCGTCCAGCGAAGATCGATGTCGATGTTGGCTGATGTTGACAGCTGCGCCGGAGTTTTCACAGCGGGGAGCTCTTCTCCCTCATGGGTCTCATACGGCGGGGGCGCCTCGGCAGGCTTCTCATCCTCGGGCGGGGCCGGCGAGCTGGGTGGTAGTGGTGTCCGCGGGGACGCTGTGCGTGGTGATGACACGGACAGCGAAGAGCGTGACTCTTCCGCCATTGGGTTCTTCACCCTGGCGTTGGCCATCAGCAATGGCGTCAAGTCAGAGGGGACGACACCGTGGTCGCTTAGCTGCTCGACCATAATTTGCTCCTGGGAGCTGATGTCCATATGGGTATAAAGACGGATCATCATCTTCTGTCCCCACATCTTGGTTGCTTCAGCTGACATGTTGACTTCCTTCTTCGTTCCCCTGGTATGCTCGATGCTCTCGGCTTCCTTGACCATGTGATGAATTTCCAGTCTGGTAAGTCCAACATATGCTATCCTCTGCCCTTCGGTCAAGAGGTCCTTGGTCGCCTGCATCTGAGAAACGGCGTCTCGCGCTTCCTCGTCGTCCTCTGTCATTGCCGTGCTCTTCACGTCTTTGAAAAGATACTGCGTGTTGTCGTCCATGCTCGTTGCCGATTCCGCATCGTCGTCCATAATTACTCGAGTATATCCCTTGCCAGCTCCCCCGAGCCCGCCGTAGCCGTATTTCTCGTTGTCCACGTCTTCCGTGTACTCCTTGGCAACAAGCCTATTGTCTTCGTCGTAAATATCGTAGGGTGCAAATGCCGGCATCTCCTGCCATTCGCCATCGTCATCGTCTTTCTCTTCCTCTTTGTCTGCCGTCAACTGCTGATGAGAGAATTCAGACATGACAACGTTGCTAGCGGTGCTCGTATCTCTGGTATGGGTGCCTCCTGCTGCCTTTGGTTGGGGCTGGTCTGCCTTGTCGACGAGCTTCACGGGTGAATCAGGCCGCTCGTCCTTTGCCTTGGTCTCCCTTGTCGCCTGCATTTCCTTTGCATCCTCCTTCTTGGCATCGGCAACGCCGTTCGTCGGCACACTGTTGTCTTTGGTTTCAACATTGGCAACGGCGGCCGGGGCAGATGCATCATCAGTGGCCGGCTGTGTTGGACTTGATGATTTTGTTTCGCTGGGCGTAGTCGCAGTGCCTGTGTCCTTTTGGTCCACCTTCTCTTCCGCGCTCTCGTCGCCATTGATTGTCGCAACGCTTTCTTTGACATCTCCTCTGTCTGCATCTGCAGCAATTTTGTCTTTGATTTCGTCCTTGTCCAGGTTCGAGGTTACCGGGGTCGACGGAGTGTTCGAGTTGTTGCCAGACGCAGCGGCAGTGGCCGGCTGCTCGGATTGCGCGTCTCTGAAGTCGTCCTCGCTGTCTGATTCTGCGCCGTTGCTGTTTGGTTTCTTGTCGCCGTTGACTTTCGTGTCAGAGTGAGCATCGTTGGCGTCTAGCTCCTTTTCGATCTTTGAAGGTTCGGGATCAGGGTGTTTCGGTTCGGACTGAGCATCGGTCGTCTCATCGTCGTCTTCGGGGGGTGGAGGTACATATCGTCTGATGGGTAGACCAAAATCATCGAATTCAGGCTTGTCGGCCATTGTTGTTGCAGCGGGAGTTGGCTTTTGTGCGGTTACATCTGATGCAGGAGAGCCATTTGGTTTCTGGGCTGACTCCTCCATGTCGGCAGCAGCGGTGGTGGTGGTGGTGGCGATCGTCGGTGAGGGGTTATTAGTGGTGGCAGACTCGCCTGAGCCCGCCATGATGAAAGGATATTTCGTCCCTTAGGCAAGCATGCGAGCCGTGTCGAAGCCAGAATGATAGCAAATCCAGGGGTGGCAGCTATTGTGTGTTTTTTTCCCTTTGTGTTTCGGGAAGTTGGGAAACGAATGGGTCGAGGTTGGGGGGAGGGGGGCGTTTGGCGTTTGACCGGGCAGGGTTCCGTAAGGAGACGCGCAATGAGCCACTGGTGTAGAGCTGACTATTCGTTCCTTAGCGGTTCGCGATTACGATTAATACCTTAGGTGGGTGCTAGTGCTAGGATGGAGGTGGTGCTGCTGCAGATATGTCGACGCGCACAATGCGGGCGCCCACGGTTGTTTGCTGCAAGTTGACGTGCTGGCTGAAGACCCTTTCCGGCTCTCTACGTGTGGTTGGCCTCAGGGGAAAAAAGACACTTGAGGAACAATCCACGTGTGAGTGGTTTTTCCTTTTGTTTGGCTGGCCGGGTGGTTCTTCGAGGGGAGGGGCCTGCCGGACTTGAAAGGGATGGAGGATGGTTGAATGGAAGATTCCCAGGCTGCAACTGCGAGCGAAACTGACCCTGGAGAGGGAGATCAAATTCCCCATGACGATCCGCTACAGTGGCATTCCAGTGGGGCCGGCCAACGAAGCCATGCGCGCGACCTCACGCTTGTGACGGGAAACGGGAGGCTTTGGAGGGGGCAGGCGGGGGTGCAATCTCCAATCGGTCGCCTGCACCGCCCTGCAATTCTCTGTCATCGGGGGACTGTGCTCGCTGCTGTCAGCCCGATGAGGCACACCGCCAACACACCAACACAGTGATCGTTTCAGTGGCCCAGAGCTCTGACCGCTGCCCAGTCCTGCCGCCCCTCCCGGGGCCTTTGCGATGCTGGCCAACTGACGACATTGGCTGCATGTCATCATGGGCACTCCTGGCTGCTGAGAGGCTTCGGGGAAATGTCTTTTGATTTGACTCTTCGGATTCGACTTTGCGGGATGACATTGCCGACTAGCTGCTCCTGGTGGATTATCCAGTTGGCTTAGGGTTGCATAGTGACAACTCACGAGGATGATACGAGAGAAGAGCGAAGCATCCGTCTCCCAAAGATTGATCGACAGGATGGAAGTCAAGAATGCCACCTAACGGCTCGACTCACTCAACGGGGAGTCAGTGTCAGTTCAAGAAAAGATAAGGGGGCTCAGCAAGGCACGTGGCCCCTGACAAGTCGTATACGAAGCTTTGTCGTAGGAATCTCCCATTAATTGGTATCTAATAACTTTTATTGTTGCAACATTCCAATGCAGTGTCCCCAAACGCCCTTGTAATGCTTCTTGGATCTTTACGGGCTTCCAACAGCTTGCTCTGCCGACCCTTCGCCTTGAGGCGCCGACTCACCCGCCCCAGCACCGGCCTTGTGTCTCCTCTTGCGCTTCTTCTTCGAAGGCCCGTCTCCCTCACCTCCTTCTCCTGCTGCCGCGGACTTGACATCGCCCTTTGGTTTTTTCTCGCCCTCCTCCTGGGCCTTCTTCGACTTTTTGACAGCCAACGGGTTGGGTCCCTTGGGTCCTCTCTTCTTGGCCTTCTTCTTCTCCGCCTTCCCATCAGCCGACGCGACATCATCTTCCTGGCCTTCGTTCTCGCTCTCGGCGTCGTTGTCGTCGTGTTCGCGCTTTCTCTTTTTCTCGGGCCTGACCAGTCCGTCGCGGAACTTGCTCCGCTCCTCTTTGGTCCTGATTTCCTGGCTCTCCGTCGCCATGGGCTCAAGGATCATGACTGAGCGCTTGATGTAGATCTGAGGAACGCCGGGAATCTCGCGGAGCATGCGGCGGACATCCGCCGACTGGCTGGCGACACAGTATCGATGCTTGTTGACGAGGTTGTCCTTGGGGTCGACGACAGCCTTAAGACACTCCATTGTACCGAGCGGTTCGGGGTAGTCTTCCGGAAGGTGGCCGCATCGTCTGCGCTCGAGGGTCTTCGCGAAATCGATAATCTTGTTCATCTCGGGCTCGCTCTTGCGAAGGTACAGCTTGCGAATCTCGCATTGCGTGATCACTGCAATGTCATTGTCAGCATAGAGAATAGAACAAGATCGTAGAGACGGTCACTCACTTGGCTTGACTTTGCCATGCAGCGTCCGTTCGAGTCCAGCGAGCAGATCGTACTTAAAGTTGTGGCAGTCGACCACCATCTCAGCGTCAACGAGACATTGATAAGGCTCACGGAATCCCCAGGTCAGCGCATACTGGTTCATAAGCTTGCGATACTGCTTGCTACGTTTTCCGCGCATTTTGTCGTCGTTGATGCCTCGTCGTAATTGGGTAAGTTGACTGAAGACCGACCGACGTCCTGGTTCTGTTGCCCGGGATGCTGAAAGGGAAAAAAAAAGTTGCGCTGGGATATGATAAGATAAGCGATAAGATGGGACCCAGCTCGAACCCAAGCATGCCCGGCCACTAAGGTTTACCCCACCGACTCCCAGCATACGGTGTATTGCGCGCGAACCAAGCACAGCAACGGACGTCCACATCGGCAAACATCGTAGATTGGGTCTTTGATTTTTGACATGTGTGAACTTTGTTCCATTTGGTGATGGTAATTATCCGATGCAACTAAACTCAGAAAGCCGAAAAACGCCGAATTTCCCCAAGAAGCCCACTGTCATCCAACCCCCAGACAGGACATATGCCAAATTATTGTGAACTTGCCCTTGCGAAGCATTCCCCATGCAGCTCTATTCCCAGATGCGCTCGTTTCGTAGTACCGTCCTTGCTCTCATGCTTCGTGTCTCCTGACCAGCGCGGCGACGACGCTGATGTCGTCTAGTTTGCCTATGGTTGTCAATTAGGCGCTGGGAGCACGGAACAATGCTCGGGGGTAACTCACCTCCTTCGGTTGGCAGGCCCTCCTCGATCGCGTGCTCCATGAAGGGGCTTTCGGCGAATGGGTCGGTCGCAATCTTCTTTGCAGCAGCCACCAGCTCCTCAGCAGCAAGCTTCATGCCTCCGTTCGCGCCGCCTGTGCGGTCGCCCTCCACTCTGTCCGCTCCGGCCTCTCCATTTTCCCAGCGTTGTATGCTGTTCTGAATGCTGTCGATAATTTCGTGCTCCCAGAGGTTGTCGATGACACCGTCGGACATGGCAAGAACCACGTCGCCCTCTTGGATCTCCACCACATCCATGACAGCATTTTTCTCCGGTGTATCGGGGCTGTTCGTCCCAAGTTGCCGAGGGCAATCGAACCAGTGCCACTGCTCCTTTGTCTTGTAGACAACCTTCTCATGCCGCGGCCGCAGAATCATGACTTGACAGTCACCCAGGTTGGTCACATACACCTGGGGGACTGGCTTGCTGCCATCCAGTGTCTTATAATGCAGTAGCGCCCCGCTCGCAGTTGTTGTTCCTTGCCAGTCATTCGGGTCCGATGTCGCTCTCAGCGTCTGCTCGTATGCCGTCTGGAGATATGCCACCGGGTTAGGGGTGAAAGCTCCTCCTTCGGAACCGTGATTTGCAGCATCTTGCTGTATGGCGGTTGCCCAGTAGTGAAGAATCAAGCGCGACCACAGCCTGAGCTAGGGTCAGCTGTTGTATCGGCAAAGAGGCACCATAACCTACCCTGCGTGACCCCTCGGGCGGGTCGACCAAGCGCCGACGCCATCGTTCGCACATATGAAGTTGTCGCTCGCGAAGACAGCATCGTCACCATTTGTCTGTCCAAGAATGATCTGTCCGTCGACTCTCGCGCGCCGATCACGGCTTCGGTGGTGGGTGCTGAGGGGGTCGGAGAAGGAGCCGGACGGAGGAGACAGGAAGGGCGGCGGAAAGGGCCTCGGAGCTCTCTTCGCGAAGAGCGACACACCGGTCTCGAAGCGGAAGGGTTGCGGTGGTTGATTCTGGTGATGGGCATCGTTCGCAAGCGGCGTCGAGGTCGACAGAGGGCGGAGCGAAGTGTTAACGAGAGTCGGGTGCGGCCATGGTGCGCTTCGAGGGCTTGGAGAAGTTCGAGGCACCCTCGGCGGCCGCGCTGTGAAGGGTTTCGTCGCCGACAAGGGCCCAGGTAGCCTCCTCATTCCCACTATGAGGCAGATCAGGCGCCTTTTGCGATGTTGGATCGCAACTCTCCTGGATAGTTGGGCCTGGAGCCGTTATCTTTGGCGCTGGAGAGGTGCCGCTGGGTGGTGGGCATGGCCGGGGGTCGTTGCGTTGGTTGGGGGCTCTCCGAACCGGGGGTTAAATTGGGTGTACACGTGCATGCGCGTCTGGTTGGCGCATTTCAGCGATGCAACTCGAGCTCCAGTGGTCCGGGTACGTACAACTTAGCTAATGGGCAGCGATGTTTGGCCGCTCTGGCTGCACTTTGGCTTCCATCCATCCAATGAGTCGACCGAGCCTACATTACCTAACTAGCGACCTAACGCCGACGAGTAAAGAGCTGGCCAACAGACACCTCACAGCTCCTCCAGCGAGTCGATGGGAGCCACATCTTTTCTCCAAACAATGCCCATACTCTGGGACTTCCTTGTCTTCCAGACCGCATAATCGCAAACACGTTTCTCTCGCCAACAATATCCTCCACCGACTAACAGCGCGAAATTTTCTGTTGACGAAAAAAATTCTGACTGAAAATTCTGCAACCAAGCAAGCTAGCATTGCGAATATGTGGCAACCAATGCAACCACCTGCAGAAATCGCCATCCCTTCATTAAGACCGAACATGCCGATCCGGCGATTTCTTACAATCCCTGGTTGTTCTGCTCCTCTGGACCCCATCGACATCTCGGTGTTTCCGCTCTGAAGTATTACCTCCCTGTCGTGCCTGGATCAATAAAAACTTTTGCATCTGCCAAACCTCCTCCACCGAAAACAAGTCGTCTGTTGTCATTGCTCCGTCTAGACGTAGAACTTTGGTTCAGCCAAACAAAACGTCTACCGGGCGATCGTCGGTCGGGATCGACAAAGGTTGGCCGGTTGTGGCCGCCGCCGCTTTTCTGCAGCCTCTGCGGCTGCAACATAGCTAAAATAAACACTCCGACTGCCGGCCACCGGACCTCAGCCTGCGTCACGTTTCCCAGCCGTGTTCACAGCTCTCATGTCGTTCAACCAAGACGAGCTGGAGGGCTGAGATGACCTAAGCCAGCAGCCAGCCGGCTGACCTGACTGTTGACTCCGGCCGTGTTGATCGGCAGGAGAAAGCCTGGTCACAACATGAAGCGAGAGGAACTGGCTGACGCTGACATGACATGGAAGCCGGGAACCAAACCTGGGCTCGTCAACAGGCGCCGATCTTTTTCTAACAATAAACCCTTGCAGCACAGACATCAGGGAACGCAGCGCACTCGTTACCTGCTTTCCGACGAACCATGCGGCTTTGGTCTGCTTCTGATCCTCGGTCTTGCCCTCCTTGCAAGCATAGTGTACAATCAAGCAGCAAGGCCATTGTGACTCACGAAACCAGACAGCAAGCGGAGATGTCGCGGATCATGATGGCGGCCAGCCATTTGAGTTGTTAGTCCTTCCATCTCGGATATTTCACGCCAGGTGTACCACCACGTTGGTTCGCGCCTCCACACACGGGTTGTGAACGACTTGACGCCAGCTCAGCAGGGGTGCTCAGGACCCCGTCCACGGACATGACGTAACACGCTCGAGCGACAGGTGGCTCAGCGTCCATCGCTGGACTCGCATCTTCACCGTCTCTGCAATGACAACAAGCTCAATTTTATTGACCCGGCATTGCTGCTTGAGGACGGAGAACGCGCGTCGAGATAGAAGTGCCACGAACCACCAGCCAGCCGTCCCTCCCGTCAGCCAGGCCATGTCTAATTGACATTCCTCGAGGCCGTCGCCAATTCATCCACCTTACGTCAGCGGCAGAGACCGAGTCCCGAACCTCTCTTCCATTCTTCGCGAGTGGAACGGTTGCTTTAAAATCAAGGGGCGAATGACAGCGCCTTGGGGCGGACTGGTGTCGTGACGAATTCACAACAGGAAGTAATCAGCCAGGTCCGCCTGAGCCGCTGTCGGGAAGCGTGGTTGGGGGCGGGAGCCATGCGCCAACAACACACAATTGCATTGTTCTTGTCAACGGATGCCCAGTTTTAACCGCGCAATTTGGCCAAAGGCTATCCGTCCTTCGGCAATAGGCAAGTCGCTGATGCAGACGAACCGGACCCTTGAGTGGAAAGCGCCCGACAGCACCGCGACCCCGGGCGTTACAACGCTCCAATCCATCCAGGTCGGTCCGGAGCGGCACAACATAATTTGAGGCTGGGGATTTCGTATCCCACTATCGCCCTGTTCGGTTTCCGACTTGATTGGATTAATCGTACTTCGGTTCGTACTGATTACGGGCCCGGCCTTCTCGGCGAGCGGAGGGCGGAGAGCGGGCGGGAACCGCTTTCATGAAGGGTCCAGAAAGACGCTGAGATATTCTGGACCTTTGCAATTTGGTCGTAATGGCCGATTGACAGCCGCCCGACAGTTTCTCACTGGAACACATGGCAATGAGAAGCCATTCATGCCTAGGATCAAGCCATGCCAACGATGCTTCTGGCTCCACGCTTCTTACTAACAACAGCGGACCCAGCCACCTCCAACGCCGCGGCAGACGTGTCGTGAAAAGTGACTGTCACCGGCGGGACAACCCCTGTTCATACTGCATGGGAATGGGGCCGGCCAGAGAGGGGGGCAGGAGGTATTGACGCATGCAGGATACAGGCCCGTCATATGGACCCTTTAAGTCAATTTCTTTTTTTCACGTCCGCGTTTTCGGATCAGTTTGGGCTGGGGGCGACGGCATCCCTGAGCTCTGGAGGCTGGCCTTTGCTGCAGCGGTGACAGACTGGCGGTGGTTCACAGTCCGAGAGCGGTGACGGCGACGGCACTGACATGAAGTTCGTCAAGAAACTCCCCCGTCTGATGTCGTTGACCTGCGGTGTGTGATGCACTGGGCAGTAAAACAACGCAGCGCTTCATTCTGAAGGGCTTGCAAGTGACGGGGAGAGAAAACCCGGCCAGGTGGGTTTCAAATCGGACACAATGCTGACGGCAGATCTCCTCAGAATGCACTGGGCTCTGCAAAAACCCGCGAGGCAGTGTTCTAACGGCGGCAGCGCTCCCTCCCAGCAAATGGAGGGCACTCTGTGGAGAAGACACAAGACGACGACCAGGGGACCGGCGCCAACGGCCCCTCCTCTTGTCTTGGGTCACCCTCTACCGCCCCAGCCCCAACCCGAAGCCGCCTGGGAGACCTTGTCAGCTGTCTGGCGCCAACATCTGAATGAGGCAGGCGAGCATTGGATGTGAGTGAACGTGCAAAGTCAGAAATCATGCCATCATGTTCACGGAGATACGTGTATACAAGGATTTGGCAGCGACTTCGCTGTTTGGCACCAACAAAGTACGCCCACTGCGCAGTCACGGGCAAGGTCTGCAATACAGCATCTTGGACTATTCGTACAGGACCGGGGTTCTCAGCACCCTGAACGGGAGGGCTGACAGATCGCCCAAGAGCCAAGTCGGCACTGAGTTTCCTTCATGGACCCAGCTTCCAATTAACAGCAACGTTGTTCACTGGGTCGCTGGGCGTTTCGAGGAGACGATGTTGAACGGGTACGTACAGCTCTTGCATAAGGCAGAATGCATGGAATAGATGGAGTTCCGTGAGCACGACCTTCTCGTTATTGCACCGATTTAGAGCGCGTGGGGTGAGTGGCAGGGAGGAGGGTGAAGGTGAGTGAGTGCAGTTCCAAGTGAGAGGGTGCCGAGGTGTCTTGGACGGGGAAGGGGACACAGAACTTCCATGGTCATGCAAATCAAAGTAGTTGAGTTGATGACCGCCGCCTGTGACCAAGCGTGCGTCGGTGATGGGATGGATGCTGGCTGCACCACATCGGACGGAACGGAGGCAAGTCAGACTTTGGGGTGGCTGCCACCGCATGTGGTTCGTCAAACAGGCGGAAAGCACTGCGACGCTGCGGCGTGTTTGATTCGTACCATCCACCCTGTAACTTGGGGAAACGGCTTAAAGCTCCCAGGAAGACGAGAAGTAATGTATCGAAACGCGAGGTTTAGTCAACGACGCGCAAACGAAGCCGGGGCGTTCTTTAGAGTACATAGAGCCTCCCTTTGGAAGTTCGAACACACTTTTTAGTGTTTGCGTTTGTTTCCAGGTTGCATGGAAGAGCTTGTAAGACAACAGACGGGCGGCCAGAGCCCAGCTTCCATCCCTTCCCTTCCCCTTTTGACTTGGGACAATTTTATCCGAGTGTCGATTGTTCGAGTCTCCCTTCCTTGCAGTGATCACTTGCGGACTTTGCGGCTCAACCCTTCCGTCTTTTGGTTTAATGAGCCGGACGGTGAGACTGGCGGAGGCTGATATGCGACAGACATCCACCGCAAGGGATCAACGGGGGGAGGCAATACCGAGACCGAATATGGAACTAAAGGAAGGTAGGCGGAGGTCGGGAATCGACAAAAGTAAACCCCGAGGCCCCCGATCGTAAATCACGGCATCCGATACGGGCAGACATCGCACACCACATACGGAGAGGTGAGGAGGAGGCACACTTCGTCGTCACCTTTTACTGCACAGCCACTCTGAGGGTCACTGGCCAAGTGCGGTTAATAGTAGTAGCCCGGACCCCGTTTATTGGACGAGGTCGAGCTCACTCCCCAAACACCCATGAGATGATGTTGTTGTTTTTTTATTTGCGTCGGGATGCACGGAGTTTCTGCTGGTCAATAGATATTCCTTGGCAGACCTGGGGGACGGGCTTTTTCAACTCATTGTGGAAAGCCAAAACTGACGAGGCGCTGGCTGCGGCGCTGCGAGAATAGGAGAGGAGAGAATGTGTGACACGGGGGACCAGCATGAGTGCAGACGAAGAAAAAGAACGAAGACATGGAAGTCTGGAATGCCCATTTCTTTCTTCGACCGCCTCCCTAATCAGATTGCATCTCCCGTCCTCTTCGGTTCCCCAGCCTCTAGCCTTCCTCTGCAGAATGGCCTGGAACATAGGGCGTCAGGTGTACCTTAATCCGTCCCAAGTTCGTCCACCGGCCACGGGGTGTGGCCCAGGGGCACCCGACCCGGCTGGCACTGAGGCGTGGCAAGAGGCGCATCCATCTTTCAGACCCTTTCCAACTTCGTGCGATGAGATGCCTGTTTCTCGCAAGAAGAATACTGGGGAATGCCAAAGCTGAGAAGACGAGTCAAAGAGTTCGTCTTTGGGGTTGCAAACAGCAAACTTGAGAACCGCGAAATCGAGATACTCTAGCAGGGCCAAGCCGAGATATCTGTATCCGTCCGGCGCTTTCCCTCCGTTACGAATTACGAATTACGCCGGCATCTGCGCTGTCAGATTCTCTAGCCTGCGACTAGTACCTAAGTCTCACTCATACGTACCCGGCGGAAACTGGAGCGACTGGGTACGGCGCGAGGACGATCCAGCCACAGCCGACACCGACCTCGCGTTTTTTTCGTCTTGTCATTCTGCAGTCCTCCGGTCGGCCTACATACCTGCTCAGCTAGCGATCGCCTCATCCACCCGATCTCTTGAGTCTTGTTAAGTCGTTGGGAGGGGCGGCCAGCGTTGCGCGTCCATCCACCAGCACCCCTGTCCAACCTTTGCCTACGAGGGGCAGAAGAGGTACATTATCCGCAAAGCTCTGGAGCTCAACTGCAACTGGGGGCCAGTCCTTTCTGTGCGAGGTAGCGCCAGAGAAACAGACTCAGTTGGTCTGCGCCGTTCGTTTCTGCAAGCTGGCGCTTTTAGTATATCCGCCACATTTCATATTCACGCCGCCGCATTATTTCGCAACAACTCGCTCATCAGAGCAACTCCCTGACCCTTGAGGTAGATCTTGGGCGAGGCGATACAGGGATCCGTAGAAACAAGAGGAGTCTAGCAAAAAAAACAGAGAGGCTGCGGCGGATTCAATGATCGGTCAGAAGGGGAGGGGGGATAAACGATTCCAGGCCGTATGTACAGCAGTCCCGCAGAGCCCGTAGACTGGCTCGTCTTGGCGGCCAAGGGCTTGGGTCCTCCCAACGCAGCGAGAACCAAAGGCGGAAAGCAAGGTGGTAGGAACCTTGACGTGCTGCATGCGCATCGTCCGGCTCATCCGTAAGGTGAACCATTGGCATCCGGCCATATCGACGCATCTCGTCGGGGCGGGCTTTTTCTGGCTCCTGCTTGTGTCCCCCTCCCCGCCTCTTTTCTCAATGGAGGATAAAATCGGCGCATAAGAGGTCGCATCCCCTTGCAGTTGGAAAAGGTACGGTGTGAAAGGAGAGGAAAGGGCCCGGTGGTTAGCAGAGTCGGCTTACAGGGGTTGTTTGTGTCGATTCATATCCGTCAAGACACATTGAACAGAAGGACGAGACTCACGAGGGACACAACGCAGTCAGATAGAACACCTTGCTTGGGTCGATGGACAAACACGAGAAGGTCCAAGACAAAAGCAAATATCGATCGATAGCAAACGCGGAAAACGAGGTGGTTGAAAAAAACACGTCAAAAAAGAAGTGTTGGTTGAGTGCGGCGCTTGTCGGGAAACTAGCAGCCGCCAACAGCGAGTCGGCAGAATCATCAACATCATCATCATGGCACGGCGTATGGAAGGTGTTGAAGGCACCTACTAAGTAGCTCCGCATAACGCCATTACGTTGTCGGCTCTAGTTCCGGGGGCCGCCTTGCCATCTTTAGCCAAGGGTACCTCAGCATCCACGCCCCGGCCGGCGTCTGTGCCCCTAGTCGCATAGCAGCAACGATTGGGTCTTGGGTCTTGGGACCACGGATAACCTGCCAGCCGCTGTCCGCAACCCGCCGCCGCACCGACGTCTTCCTTGGTGAGTAGGTACTTGTGGTGAGGTGGGTGGTGGTGTCGACGGGAGGTGGTGACCTAGGTCGGGTGCTGCTACTGCTGCGACCTTCCTGCCGCAGCTGGAGTCGAGCAAGGCCCGGTAACGCGAGGCAAGACGGGATGGGACTGGACTGGACTGGGCTGGACTGCACGCAAGCAAGGCCAGTCAGTCAGTCAGTCAGTCAGTCAGTCAATCAGGCACAGACAGGCAAGGAAAGAGGCAAGGAGAGGCAAGGTCTGGAAGCAAGTCACCGCAGTCAGAGGAAGGCGGTGTTTCCCATGGAAAGGTAAGGTAATTCTTGTTGCATAATACTCCGCGGTACGCCTCGTCTTTTTGACACGTCCTCACGCGGGTTTCCAGCCAGGTTCATACATCATCTTTGCTCTTCGTCTTCCTTTTTCTTTCCACTCTTCCCTTATTTTCCCTTGCCTTGCTCGTGGATCACGTCTGCTCTGCTCTGCTCTGCTTTGCTTTGCTCTGCTCCTGTCTCTCTGCTTTGGGGAACCCTACCTTACACCCCCCGTCGACCTACGTGCTCTTACCTCACCATTTGCACCGCCGCATCCGCTATCAGAGGTGCACTTAATTACCTTACTGACCCTACTCGATACCCCTACCGGCCACTGCCCTGCGACGACATTGAAGACGAAGACGACGACGACGACACCCATCGACGACGTCCATGTACGAAGTCTAGGCCTAATATCTACTCACGTTTCGCCTTTGCTCCGAAGCTGGAACAGCCTCGATTCGTTCCCACAACGTTATTAAACCCACCTTGCACACACGCGCGCCGACCCTGCCCGCCTCGCATCATACTCACTCACCACCTTTGCCTTATTCCCCTCAGGTAATTACTACCCGTCTGTTCGTACCTCGACGCCGAGTCGGAACACACGGGCAGCATCGCATATCGCCCCGACCGGGTTCTGCTACGAATACGTACGACCGACGACAGTCTCCCCCCCCGTCGCCGCCGCATATTGGAGTCTCCAAACTCATTCCTCGCCGTGCGCTCGCTCGACTCGACTCACCCACGATTGGCGTTTTTGCGTCTCGTCCAAGACCCGAGGAACAACCCAAGACAGGTTGCTGTCTCTCAGTAATTTAGTTGCATGGTTGCTGGCTTGGCGGGAGAGTGCCAGCTGCATTGCGTAGGCCACCGCAAAGATGGGCCGTAATCGAGGTTCGTGCTCCCTCATCGCATTCCCAGTTGTCCCCAAGCCGTTCCCCTTCCCTTTCCATGTCTTGCCATCGCCAGGTCTGGCTGCCGCTTGTCTCACTCGTCGCGCAACATGCGCGCCGGGCTTGTCGTAGGAGGCTGTTCCAACTTCTCGGCTGGCTCCTGGCATGCGTGCCTCGACGTGCATCCCAATCCTAATATCCCGTCCCGTCCTCTGCGCATCGTTGGCATCACCACCACAGACGCTCGCATACACACATTCACGCACGCGCTATTACCTTTTCACACACTTGCGTCCAACTAATATCAATAACACCCTGGCCCGGCCTTCTTACACCTGCCTCATTACCCTCACAAGTGTTCCTTCATCGGCAGAGCAGAGCAGAACAGGCAGCGTGGTTCAGCTCAGCTGGTCCTGGATCACCGTCATCCCCGTCGCAATCTGCAATCACTATCCCCATCCCACCTTATCCCTTCCCGTGCTACCCATTCATCTCCATCAGCCATCCCTACCCGTCGCTGTCACTGCCCCCCCCCCGTCCCCCGTCACCACCATCCTTTAGCCCCCATCTTTGGTGTCTCCATTGTTGATTGCTTTGGTGGCCCTTCTCGTCAGTCCGCACTTTATTCGTACTCTCACCTCACAGCGCAGCGCCGCCGCGCCGCCCAGAGCGCACCAAGCAGCGCCCACCCCTACCCGCAGTGCGCAATCGCGCTGCAATCGCATAGTGCCTGGCCTACCTCGCCTGCCTTAGCTACCCTAGTACGCGCTGCGTCTGCGTATGCGTCGTACTCCGTACCCCCCTTCCCGCCCATCGTCGTCCCTTCCCCTTTGCTTTGCTGCCCAGTGGGTGGCCCCTTCCCCCTCCCGCGTCGTCCACGGGCCCGGTCCACGTCCACGCTCCTGCTCCTCTCCCTCGCGAGACCCCCCTCACATCGGCACCCCGTTCGCCGGTCCTGGCCAATTACTTGGGCGTCAGGCGATAATATTACTTTTTTATCCAGCGGTGTTGCTGTTAGGAGTTCGTAGTTAGGCGCGCATTATGCTGACCAAGTCTGCTTCGGGCACAGTCCTGTCCTTCATGTCCCAATTTTCCGTTGGTGGCACACCGAGGGACGCCAGTAAGAATCAACCAACTCCAAATTCGTCGCCTCCCCACGACTCGACGCCCTTTCCTCCGTACAACAAGCACCACTCAACACCACCACAATCAAAAACAGAGCCCTTCCCCGAACCCCCCGCCAGCTTCACCAACCGTCCCGCAACACCTCCTTCGCCTTCGCGACCACCACCTGCCGGCGCGCACGAATATGCCTCGTCTCCCGCACATACAAATACTTCTGTAAACGACTCTCCCATCAACAGCCCACGAGGCCGTCAACGCAGCTCCTCCCGCCCACTTTCGATGGTAATGCCATACCAGCCGCCCCTCATGGACATCAACGAAGACACCATCCCGGAGCTGCAGCCCATCTTCACTTTCCTGAACAGCCACGCGAACAAGCTGTATCAGGAGGGCTACTTTCTGAAGTTGGACGATCAAAACACTCGTGCGTATTTTTTTATTTTTGTTTTTATCTTTTGGTCTTACTCACTCACTCTCTCGCCCCTTCTCATATGAGAGTTTTGGTTTATTTATTTTCCCCTGCATAACCCTGCAGCTGTCAAAGCAAAGATGCGAGGCACATCGGACGAATTTATTTCTGACACAGATTCACAGAGGGCAAGCCCAATGCGGACCGCACCTGGACGGAGTGCTTCGCGCAGCTCGTCGGCACCGTCCTGTCGCTATGGGACGCTGCAGAGCTGGACGCCGCCGGAGAGGATGGTGAGATCCTGCCAAAATTCATCAACCTGACGGATGCGTCAATCAAGATGGTGAGTCGCCAGTGACGATTGTTGACTTTTTGGGGATCGCGCCCAGACCCTCGGGAGAGCAGTCGGGAGATGTGACGGCGGGGGACCGAGTGCTAATTTAATCTTTCCCTTGGCGAACAGATCGAATCCCTACCAACACGATCGAATGACGAACAGCCGCTGCAGAACATTCTCAGCATCTCAACTGCCGGCAGAAACCGCTATTTGCTGCACTTCAACTCCCACCACTCACTAATTCAATGGACCGCCGGAATCAGACTCGCCATTTTCGAGCACTCCACCTTGCAGGAGGCTTACACCGGCGCCCTTATTGCCGGCAAGGGCAAGTCGCTCAACAACATCAATCTCATTATGGACAGATCCAGGTTCAAGACTGAAGAGTGGGTTCGCGTGCGATTCGGTGCAGGAGTCCCCTGGAGACGCTGCTGGTGTGTCATTTCTCCACCCGACGAGAAGGAGTACCAGAAGGCACAGAAGGAGATGCGCAAGAAGTCGCCTTACGACCGTTCTACTCCGGTTCTCAAGGGAAATATCAAGTTCTACGACACCAAGAAGGATGGTAAGAAGCAGAAGAAGGCTCGACCGATAGCGACGATTACCGATGCCTATTCATCATACGCCATCTACCCGCAGGCCAAGTCGCTGATTGACGCATCCACCCTGCTCAAGATCGAGGGCAACATCACCATCCACTCCGAGCCGCCTTCCTCGACCGAGGGCTTCGTGTTTATCATGCCCGAAACCCATCCTGCAGTCAGCGGCTTCGAGATGCTGCTGCGTTTCCTCTTCCCGACCTGGGACACCTTCGCCCTCTACGGCCGCCCCGGGAGACTGGTTGCCAGTGTTTTGGACCCCAGATCACTCATGTTCGCCATGCCCAAGCACCGAAGATATGGCTACCTCGAAATTCTGGATGTTTCTGGACTGATTCTGACGGAGGGAAGCTCGTCTTGGTCTGAGCGTGAATGGAGAAAGCAACTCAAGGAGCTGACTGGTAAGCGAATGAATGCTGTGGATGAGGCTGGAGGCATCAGACAAAGGAGCGGCAGCAAGAGAAGCAACCGCCTCAGCTTTGGCAATGGAACGTCAAGCCCTGTTCCAGCCAAGCCCAGAGTTGGCTTTGCTGATGACGCCATCTCAAACCGTTCATCCCGATCCATGTCTTTGGGTGCTCCCAACCGTTCAGAGACTGCACCTGTCACCACTTCCCGCCCACCTCCTGCATTGGCTGGTCTGGGCTTGAACAAGGCGAACCACGCACGCAACTCCTCAGACCCCCATCTGCTGGGTCATGCACCCCCTCGCAATGAGGATAGAGGCTACGACAGCTCCTACAGCAATTCCTACAACAACTCGCCCGCCCGTGGCCCGACCCCAGTTAAGGGTATCCTCCGCTCAGGCACCCAGAGTTCCGATGATGACACAGCTCGCAGCACCCCTGTGAGGGACTTGGAGAACAATGTCCGCTCCATGGAGTCTCCTGAGCCTGTTGCAGCTCCTCCTGCTTTCAACTACGGACCTCAGTCCAAGCCTGCAGGCAAGCCGTACCACTCACCTGATCTTCGCAGAGCTACTAGTCGCTTGTCCAACACGACCTTGTCCCAGCTGGCCAAGGCTGGAGGATTCGCTATCCCCCCTGATGATCGTTCGGAGAGTTCTTCTGAGCGCAGAAGCGGAGAGGACGCTGCAGGACCCAACCCATTGGTACAAACTCACGCCGCCAATAATGTGGGAGGATCTGCTGACAACATCTTCACTGGTGAAGCTCTAACCCACAACACTCCCCCTCCTGCGGACTCGCTGCCGCCCCCTATCCCACCCATGAACCAGAAGCGTTCACGATCTCCCCTTGCTCAGCACTCGTTCGGCCCCCCTAGCCCTCACCCTCGCGGCCCTCTGCCCCCCAACCCTCAATCCCGTGGCGCCCCTGATGCGAGACCCCCTCCCGACATGCGTCCTCCTCAAGACATGAGAGGCCCCCAGCAAATGAGAAGTACGGAGCAGCTTCGAAGCCCCGTCGAGGGTCAGCAGTCCCCATTCCCCCCTTACGATGCGAGGCCTCCCCCTGGCCCCGGTATGAGAGGCCCTCAACAGATGAGAAGCATCGAGCAGATGAGGAGCCCAGTTGAAGGTCGACCTCAGCCAAACTTCTCTCGCCCCGAGGGAACGAGAACCCCTCCGATCGGTGGTGACGGTAGGGTTCCGACGCCTGAGATGAGAAACCGGGGCATGATGGGACCTCCCCCGCCCCAGCATCGCACCCTGCCCCCGCTCAACACGGCAAATGCATTCCAGCGAAAGCCACTTCCAGCTCGCTCAGACAGCCTGAGAAGCCCACAAGAGACCCCGATCTCGGCGTCCAGCGGTGGCAGCTGGGGAAATAACATCATCGATCAAGCTGCCTTCTCCCAAATCCGATACAACGACAGCCCTCGCCACACCCCCGTGCCCGAGCAGCAGATTCGCAGAAAGCCGACGATGCAAAGTGACAGCAGCTACTACGACGACAACGCATCCAATGTCAGCCCGGACTACGCCAGCCGCAAGTCGAGTGAAACCCAGCATTCCCAAAAGTCTTTCGAGAGACCCCGTGTTGGTGTTTTGAAGACAGTGGGCGGTGCCGATTCTGACTCTGGAAGCGAAAGGTTCAACATCCCCGAGGTCAACTTTGGCCCTACTCTCAACTACGGCGCCAACCAGCCAGCCAGAAACAAGACTCCTACCCCGATGAACCCGCAAGGAATTCCTGGACCTCAGAGACCCTTCTCACCCGCTCTGAAGTCACCTCCGCCTGAGGGCGGACACAGCCGCCAGGAGTCCGAGGACACCATGAGAAAGGTCGCTTGGCAACCTGGTGCTGCTACCGTCGGAACTGGCCAGGCTGGTCAGGGCATCAGTGCCGAGCAGTTTGTCCAGCAGCGCGCTGCTCAGGCGACTACTCCCATGTACGGCCACGGCCGCACCCCGTCTGGCAATATTCTTACTATGCGATCGATGACGCCGACGCCCTCAATGACCCAGAACACTTCTGCCGAGAGACTGGCTCGCCACTCGCGCAGCAGTTCCGCGGATCTTCTGCAGCGACCCGGCTCCCGTGGTGCCAATGCTGTGCTCGACATGACGAACTCTGCTGAGGGTCCCTCTCACCTCTCTGCGCGCGAGCAAGAGCACGTGGCCCGCATGACTGGATCGCCCCTTATCAGCATGGCCGGAAACAGAAACGCCAACCAGGGACAAGGAGCCGGACTGGTAGGAGCAATCCAGGCTCGTGAGCGCGAGAGAATGCAGGCGAAGCAAGGCATGAACACGCAGGCGGTGCAGCAGGCTATCAACCAGCGGCAGCAGCAGCAGGCAATGGCCTACCAGCATCAGCTCCAGAGACAGCAGCAGCAACAGGTGCAACAGCAGCAGCAGCAACAGCAGGCTTATCAACAGCAGATGTACGCCCAGCAACAGCAAATCATGTCTCCCATGTCTCCTATGTCTCCCATGTCACCGCAGCAGGGCATGTACGCTCAAAGCAACATGTCTCGCGGACAGATGGGACCCCCTCGTGGACAGCCGAACGTCTACGGTGCTCCTGCTCAAAATTTTGGCTATGGACAGCAGGGTGGCTACGCGCAAAGCAATGGCTTTAGTCAAGGGGCCAGCTATCCCCAGGGTGCCACCTACGCCAACCCAATGGCTATGCGCCAGGGACGCCAATCGCCTGGACCCCAGATGATGGACCCAAGATTCATGCCTCAGGGAGCCTACTCTCCCGGACCTCAGCAGGGCGGCAGGCAACCCTACCAGGCGCAGTACCAGGGCCAGGCTTTTTAACTGGTCTCACACAGATGGAACGATGATGGAGGAGGTTAATGAAACACATCCAGTTGATACCAGGGACGAGGCACTACCACACAAGCCTTGACCATACAAAAAAAAAAAAGTGTATTATCATAGCGGGAGGAGAGTCCCATGGAAGGCGTTCGGGGGGAATGACAGCCACAGGCAAGTTGGCTGATGCATTGGTTTCTAGAGAGACTGGATAAGCATCTGGGTTTTTCTTTTGTCAAACGAGTAGAGTCAGAGTACAATAGCATGGCTGGCAAGTAGCATAACGATCAGTAGAGACGGCCGAAGACATATGACAAGAATGCATTGATTAACTTGATTGCCTGCCTGGTGCGTGATTGCTACTTTTGTTTGCTCTACCAACGGTTCTAGGGAGGGAGATATGATTCTTGCACGGACGCACTGTTGCCTTCTTCTCGGTCGATCATTTGCAGTGTTTCTCCCTCGCCTAGGCAGTCGACGATAGACCGTTGTCGTTCACACGTCACGGCCGAGACCAGCACGATAGCCTCGAACCAGCTTGGACTGGTCTGCAATTATGGGACGGTCCAGCGGGAGGTGTCAACCTAGGAGGTCTGCCGCCGCCAGCTTAATTAAGTTCAGGCATCGGGCAGGGAACCATGACGAGGACCCTGTTGTGTCTGTGTGCTCGTCAAGCTCTTCTGCCGAGAAGAAAGTCTAGGACCCTGGCTTCCGGTTCTCAGGGGGTTGCGAGTCGCCACTGAGTGGCTGGCAGGCCATGGCTGGGCACCTCAGAGCTGGGCATCTATTGGTGCACGGTGCCTTTCTAGTCCTGCCAGCTACCTGAGATACGGGGGGGCTAGTGCCTTCTTCGCCTCTCTGTGGCATTCTGGTTCAGCGGAGTTTGGGTTCTGAGCAGGCTGCCTCGTGGACACTGGACGACCCGCCGAGTCTTAGACGGCTGACAGCCAGTGGCTCGTCGCACCCGCGCAAAAAGAGAGACATTTCGCTCTCGAGGCCAACCTTGAGTGCACGCACGCCCACCACGCCCACGCCTTCGCGTCCAGACGCCGTCATCTGACTTGTCGTTGACCATTTCTGGCACGGTCACGTCAACCGCGAGGCAATCGCGTCGATTGATGCATCTTGTTTCCGCGTGTGCGTGTTTGGTCTGTCCCCTGCCTGATACCTGCTATCCATCATTCGAGGTCTTCTCGTGTCTTGCTGTTTGCTGGCATGACGTCCTCACAGCGGTCTTGATTTATAAAGGACGTTGCTGGGTGACGGCGGAAACAACCCCTCCACCACCAACCATCCACAGTATCCTGCGCAAAGTAACGTTCGCTCGTCCGCTCGCTCGCTACATCCTTGGCCTACAATTTCAAGAATATCTGGCGAACGACGCAAACACGACACGGAACAATACCCCGCCGATCGAGAGACAAGGCGACCGGCCACCGAGTCCGACTTCGAGTCCACGTCCTCCCACCGAAGCCTGTAGCGCCTAAGGAAAAGCCCCCGGCGAAAAAGCAAACATCACTAGACCTTGTATGCGCATCTAGGGCTCTCGAAAGCATCACCACTTCTTTCCTTAGCCAACATTAATAAATGCATTATCCGCCACTTCAGTCCAGCCGCGCCTTTTCCTCGCACTGGACTTTTCCGATTAACCCCTTACGCCAGGCCGCCTGTCCCCGGTCTGCGGTCGCGACGGCAGCCTAGACGAGCCTCAGGAGCCTTTTCGTTCGCAAGCTGGTCCCAATGGAGGGTGATGGGTCGCAGCCGACCCAAGGTACGCATTCGTGAGCGTCGGCTACTTGATGCTTCCTCTCGTCTTGTGCATGCGACCAGACGCTAACCATTTGCTTTTCCAGCTACTCAGAATGTCCTCGATCCCAGGCGCATAGGCAAGCAGAACTCGGGCTTCTCAGATGAGGACATCTCCGACATCATCTGCTTGCTCTACCCACACTCCGATTTCGCCCGCCGAGAGATCCATCGTATCGCCAGGGAACATTCGCCTCATATCATAGTGCGAGCAGAGGCAGACGCTGTGGAGCCTGACTACGAGCAGGAAGACAGGGCCGATCAGTTCCAGCTGACACCTCCGAATTCCGAATATGCCGTGATCCTGAGGTTGTCAGCTCAAACGAAGGATCCCCTCAATGGGTTTCTGTTTGGCCGCAACGTCACTCGCTGCGACATATGTTTTGCCAACGACCCGATGAAGCGCTTGAGCAATGTCCACTTTCGCATCTACGTCAACTCGTACGGAGTCGTCATGCTCGAGGACCAGTCCACGAACGGCACCTTCGTCGACGGCACCCTGCTGCGCGCCAAGTCCAAGGCTCCAAACGAGAAATGCGACACGAGGAGGGTCCTTAGTCACGGCTCCAAGGTCAAGATTCTAATGCATCATGAGGCTCACGACCTCGAGTTTTTGGTTAGGTTACCCAAGAGGCAGGGCGAATATGATCGCGCGTACATCTCAAAATTGGAAGAATACTTCGACAATATGGAACGCTTGCGTCAAAAGCAAAATGAGACCATCACCCCTGGTCCAGGCGGTCACGTCGACCTCTTCAACGCACCTAGAAGACAGCAAAATGCCGTGCCGCGGAGGATAGCGTTGCCATCCGGACCGACCCAGAGCAATACAGAGAGGTTCTCGAGGGAATGGGATGGATCCGGCAAGTACAACCGCATCAATACGATTGGTAAGGGAGCTTTTGCCGTTGTATACAAGGTCACCTCCAAATTTGACGGCAACCCCTATGCTGCCAAAGAGCTCGACAAGCGTAGATTCATCAAGAACGGGGTTATGGACCAGAAGGTGGAAAATGAGATGAAAATCATGCAGAGGCTTGAACATGTAGGCTGCGCTTCCCTCCATCTTGCCCGTTCCTGCAGACCACTGACCGTGAACAGCCAAACATTGTTCGATATATCGAGCATTTCGACTGGGAAAACCGTCTATTTATCATCATTATGGAGTTCGTTGGCGGCGGCGACTTGGGGAAGCTCATCAGCACCAGGGGGCCCTTGCAAGAGAAATCTGTGAAGCAGATGGCATCTCAACTGCTGAGCGCTTTGGCACACTTGCACGAGAATCACATCACCCACAGAGACGTCAAGCCCGACAACATTCTGATTCACTCACTGTCCCCATTTGATGTGAAGCTGACCGACTTTGGGCTCTCGAAAATGGTGGACAACGAGCAAACGTTTTTGCGGACCTTCTGCGGCACACTGCTCTACTGCGCACCAGAAGTATACTCGGAGTACGCTGAATACGATGATCAAGGACGTCGGCACCCGCGCAACAGGGTCAAGCGCGCTGCTGTAGGGCAAAGATATGACCATGTCGTCGACGTCTGGTCGCTTGGTGGAGTTTTGTTCTACGCCCTCACTGGCTATCCGCCATATCCCGTTAAGAACGGTGTGAGCCACTCGGAGTTGCTTCACACCATCATGACGCAGCAACTTAATACGACGCCGCTAGTGAGGGCCAACATTTCTCAGGAGGGCATCGAGTTTCTTCGTCTGATGCTGGAGAAGCGACCGGAATGCCGTGCGACGGTGAAGGACTTACAGTCCCATCCATGGCTTGGGGCTTTCCGAGTCAGGTCACAGCCAAGCATCGACCAGTCATTTGATGAAATTACGGATGAGGAAGAGGAGCTCCAGATCAACGCCTCACAGCTCAGCTTGCAAGACGGACAATCCCGCACGCTGGCCGACGAGGAACCACAATTCGAGGATGTAGTCGACGACGACATTGTAGACGACTTCATAGAGGAGGATTCCGAAAAGGAGAACGGCACGTTCGGGCCTTCTGGGCAAGGAGCTCAGCCGAAATTGTTCGGGGAAGTCAATGTGTCGGCTGTTGGAAGTTCCGGGGTAATACCAGAGGACCGCCTCAACCTGGGCGAGTCGAGTATTATTAGCGGTGAAAGCCTAGAGACGGAGATCCGGGACAGCTATGACTCGGGAGACGTCTCGACCATTATCGGACAGAAGCATCCCAGTAGCGGGGCAAGACTGTCCGTATCTGCTGCCGAAGGTCAATCCGTGGATCAACTGCAAAGCTTGGTCAGAAATGTCGCTTCGCAGAGCCTCGGTGCTACGGAGGCTGATTTCCAGATGAAATCTGCAGCAACTTCTCAGGTAAACGGCACATTCTACACCGCCAGTAAAAGGAAGCCGTCATCTGTCGACACAAGCGATGAGTTCGAACCAAGACCTCGGGAGAAGCCAGCCTTCAAACGCCTCAAGTCTGAAGGGAATCTTGATGCCCTGGTGGACCAAGAGATGGAGGAGTACAAGCTTCTTGCCTCAGTGCCACAAATCAAGAGACTCGAATCGGGGCGCCAAATCGACAAGCCTTACAACAAGATTGGCTTCTGGGGAAGCAACCTCGCCAGCTGGCATCTGAGATATCCCGAGATGACCCAGCTCCAATATGACATGTTCGACCGAGCAGCTCAATCACGGGGCGAAAAGTTTGAGCCTGGCCAGTCGCCCCTGTGGGAATTGGCTTTCAAGTACTTCCCTCCAAGCAACGGCCTGCCGGCGCTGCACGTCAACGAAGCGTCAACCATCAACGACACAAAGACAATGCTGAAGCGTGATGATAGAAAGGTTTTGGACGGAGCTGAGTGGGACATTCCTGCCACGGCCCCCCCGGCGGAAGAGGATTCGCTTCCAGATACCCTGCCCCCAGAAACCCAAAACATCATCGTTCCGATACAGGAGGAGAGGGCGAGGACGAAGCGAGCCGTTGCTGTTCTCGAGTCATCGCCTGGATCGGTCGTCTCTGGAATCTCTGTCCCAGTCAATGAAATCGTCATGTCTTGGGGCAGAGGACCGGAGAACATGATTATATATGATCCAAAGACGGAGATAAGAGTTCCAAAATACGCAGCGAAGATTGTCTTGTGGAAGGATGGCTTTGACCCCAACAGGTGGCGACGGGAACAGCCTTGGGATAAGAACGACACCGGGGCTGGCTATACATTTTATCT